TCGGGACGCTCTGCTAAGCTGCCGGGCGCCGCCGGACTCTTTCCAGCTTACAAGGCACCGACCGGAGACGTGGGGGACTGCCGTGAGTCTCCTGTGCCCCCTTTCCCCGGCCTGGCGGGATCCAGCCACGCGAGGGTCACGCTCCGGTTCGTGCCGCGGTCCACCAGCCACCAGGCACCCTTGCCTATTAAACGCCTCCTGGGTGCGGCTGGGCCCAAGGCCTGGGAGGGCAGTGGGGACTAGTGGTTAGAGCCAGACCTCCTGGGTTCTCTCCCAAGGCCTGGGAGGGCAGTGGGGACTAGTGGTTAGAGCCAGACCTCCTGGGTTCTCTCCCAAGGCCTGGGAGGGCAGTGGGGACTAGTGGTTAGAGCCAGACCTCCTGGGTTCTCTCCCAAGGCCTGGGAGGGCAGTGGGGACTAGTGGTTAGAGCCAGACCTCCTGGGTTCTCTCCCAAGGCCTGGGAGGGCAGTGGGGACTAGTGGTTAGAGCCAGACCTCCTGGGTTCTCTCCCAAGGCCTGGGAGGGCAGTGGGGACTAGTGGTTAGAGCCAGACCTCCTGGGTTCTCTCCCAAGGCCTGGGAGGGCAGTGGGGACTAGTGGTTAGAGCCAGACCTCCTGGGTTCTCTCCCAAGGCCTGGGAGGGCAGTGGGGACTAGTGGTTAGAGCCAGACCTCCTGGGTTCTCTCCCAAGGCCTGGGAGGGCAGTGGGGACTAGTGGTTAGAGCCAGACCTCCTGGGTTCTCTCCCAAGGCCTGGGAGGGCAGTGGGGACTAGTGGTTAGAGCCAGACCTCCTGGGTTCTCTCCCAAGGCCTGGGAGGGCAGTGGGGACTAGTGGTTAGAGCCAGACCTCCTGGGTTCTCTCCCAAGGCCTGGGAGGGCAGTGGGGACTAGTGGTTAGAGCCAGACCTCCTGGGTTCTCTCCCAAGGCCTGGGAGGGCAGTGGGGACTAGTGGTTAGAGCCAGACCTCCTGGGTTCTCTCCCAAGGCCTGGGAGGGCAGTGGGGACTAGTGGTTAGAGCCAGACCTCCTGGGTTCTCTCCCAAGGCCTGGGAGGGCAGTGGGGACTAGTGGTTAGAGCCAGACCTCCTGGGTTCTCTCCCAAGGCCTGGGAGGGCAGTGGGGACTAGTGGTTAGAGCCAGACCTCCTGGGTTCTCTCCCAAGGCCTGGGAGGGCAGTGGGGACTAGTGGTTAGAGCCAGACCTCCTGGGTTCTCTCCCAAGGCCTGGGAGGGCAGTGGGGACTAGTGGTTAGAGCCAGACCTCCTGGGTTCTCTCCCAAGGCCTGGGAGGGCAGTGGGGACTAGTGGTTAGAGCCAGACCTCCTGGGTTCTCTCCCAAGGCCTGGGAGGGCAGTGGGGACTAGTGGTTAGAGCCAGACCTCCTGGGTTCTCTCCCAAGGCCTGGGAGGGCAGTGGGGACTAGTGGTTAGAGCCAGACCCCCTCCGGGTTCTCTCCGGGCTCTGAGAGGGGCATGGGGCTGGGCGTACACATTGGACTCCATTCATTTAGTGGAACAGCATCTTCCCTTTAGTGGGTGCCCGTCCTCTCCCGCCCCCCCCCCAGACACACAGCTCGCGTCTC